TGGAAGGGACCTTGGAGGTCTTCTAGTCCAACCCCCTGCCTAGGCAGGAAACCCTATACCGGTTCCGACAAATGGCTATCCAACATCTTCTTAAAGACTTCCAGTGTTGTGGGGGAGTCTTTAAGAAGATGTTGGATAGCCATTTGTCGGAAACGGTATAGGGTTTCCTGCCTAGGCAGGGGGTTGGACTAGAAGACCTCCAAGGTCCCTTCCAACTCTGCTATTGTATTGTATTGTGTGTATACACGTATGGATATAAAGGGAAAAATTGAGGTATAACGGATGTTACGTATACCAATGCAGAAATGTTGCAAAGATGACAGTTGTGTTACAAAACTGGGGGGGGGGGGGGTTTTTTAAAAAAAAATTCTTTTTAAAAAAAAAAATGCCTGCATCACTGTTCTATTCATTTTTTCACCTGGTTCCATCATCTTTGGAGCATTATCAAACAAACACACACACACACACATACACACACGTATGTTCCGTGATTTGTCCACATTATTGCAAGATTTTATGTCGTTTCGAAGCGCATGACCTCACCATCTCGGTTGGAGAGCAGCTGAACAAGTCCGTTGAGACAGGTATCCCGGACTCGGCCGATGTTAGTGGCGCAACGGCCAATGGCCTGAATTGTGGCTGCCACAAAGTCTTTATCCATGCTGCGGATGTAAGTCTGGAGGAAGAGAAGAAACCAACACTTGAAAGCAAAATGTATCAAAACAAAGAGAAATAAATTGCTTCGGATAGAAAAGTTCATTATCATGTACATTATACCCAGAGGTGGGGGGGGGGGGGAAAGACACCCTGGGCTAAATTATTTTCTATATATTACCTGAAATTCCCGCAAAATGGTAGAAATGTTGGTTTCATTAGCCAGGTTGGTCAAAACTTCCAGCTGGCAGGATAGGGGGGGAAAAGCAGAAGAGGTTATATTTGAATGTCTTTTAATATCACTGCTTCCTTGAGCAGGCAGAAAAGCAAGGATGACAGTTTGAAAAGAAAAGAAAATGAGCTATTTGGAAACCGATATATTTTAAGTAAATATTTTATTTACTAATATATAGTACCTTGAGGATCTTAATCTGGGTGGGATCAGTTGATCGGATGTAGAAGCTTTTGAGGTAGGGCTCAAACATTCCCTGGAGAGCGAGGCGGGGGGTGGGGAGGAAGAGGAGGAAGAGAGAGAAACAGATTCAGTTTTATAAATTCTGTAAGATTCTCTGGGTTTCTAGGAATCAAACAAAAGATTCTCTTCGGGGATTTATAATTGCTCCCTCTCTGACCAAAGGAATAAGTGGGGCGTGGGAGCCCTCCAACAAAACCTGGACCCACATTATGTCAACAATTCCCAGCTAGACAAGGAAAGAGGGACTCACCCTACGCTTGATGGACATGGTGGCCACGTTCTGAAGCACTACATATTGAACCTCGCTGCAAGACAGACAGACGGACAGTCGTTAATCAGGTTGGACTGTCCTGATGATAATCAAAAATGGGATTATTCTTAGTTTGTACAAGAATGTTAGTGAATATCTCCTTTCCTCAATCAATCGTTCTCCAGAAGTGATGGAATTACAATCCCCATTTCTAGCCAGCAGACAGGACTTGGGATACCTGTGTACTACAGTACGACTTTGAGAAAAAAGCTTGTTAAACTGATGGATGTGACCGGGGAGGGGGGAGTGGGCTGCTATGGGTTTGCCCGGGTTTGGGACAGGGGTGGGTTCCTGCCAGATCCAACCTCTTCTATAGAAGAGGTTCCACAAATCTACAGTGCCATTTAGAACCGGTTCCAGCTCCTTCCTCCCGCACAGCCGCACATCATCAAGATGAAGAGCGAGAGGAGGAATTCTGGGAGTT